TAATATCCAAAAAATCTGGATTTTTTTATATGGCAGAAATGTAATGAGACTGCTTTTAGATACACACTTTCCTGCATTGTCTGTTCATATTTCAAGACTCCTTGTTATACTAAATGTAGTCTTATTTTCCATATTGATTTAAATATTCTCCCCCTTTCACCCCTCCTCTTCAGAAAATGGAAGACGAAATCGCCGCCCTCGTTGTTGACAACGGCTCCGGTATGTGCAAAGCTGGCTTTGCAGGAGATGATGCTCCCCGTGCTGTGTTCCCCTCCATTGTTGGGCGTCCCAGACATCAGGTACACTTTCTGAATTGTCTTTTTAAATCATTCAAAGCTTTGAAATATTGTCTGCAATGCCTTTCATTGTGCTGTTTGTAACTTGTTTTTCTGTTCTCTTTCCCAGGGTGTGATGGTTGGTATGGGCCAGAAGGACAGCTATGTTGGTGATGAAGCCCAGAGCAAAAGGGGTATCCTGACTCTGAAGTATCCCATTGAGCACGGTATCGTGACCAACTGGGACGACATGGAGAAGATCTGGCATCACACCTTCTACAATGAGCTGAGAGTTGCCCCAGAGGAGCACCCAGTCCTGCTCACAGAGGCGCCCCTGAACCCCAAGGCCAACAGGGAAAAGATGACCCAGGTAAGGAGCGCCAACATACACTGACAAATCCCCTCAGGAAACTCTCTGCTCGCCTACATGTTTCCATCCTCTGCTCAAACGGTCAATTTCCTCCTGCTCCTTAAATCTCCAGGTTTCTTCTATCCTGTGCTGATATTTTCATCTCTGTGGAGGCTTCAGGTTTCTATCTCTGGCAATGTAATGCATCAGGAATGTTGTTTTCTTTGCAGCATGGTCTTTTAGATCAAGTGTGTGTTTTTTTATTTTTTAGACTTTCTAAAGTAGATGGCAAGCCTTCAACTACACGGGTGCCTGCATGGTTCAACAGATTATGTTTGCGCAGATTGCTACACTCATCTTTAAGAGTAAACTTGACTAAACTTAAGTACAGGTTTATTGAAGTGACTAGTTTTTAATATGGTGTTTCTACTCAAAACAAAACCAGGCCAGTGTGCAGTGCCTTTCTGTACTAACCCATTCTAGCTTACTCCAGGTTATTATGACTCCCTGGTTCAATGACTCATCTCTCTTTTCCTCTTTTCCAGATCATGTTCGAGACCTTCAACACCCCTGCCATGTATGTGGCCATCCAGGCTGTGCTGTCCCTGTACGCCTCTGGTCGTACCACTGGTATCGTCATGGACTCTGGTGATGGTGTGACCCACACAGTGCCCATCTATGAAGGCTACGCCCTGCCCCACGCCATCCTCAGGCTGGATCTGGCTGGCAGAGACCTCACGGACTACCTCATGAAGATCCTGACTGAGAGGGGCTACAGCTTCACCACCACAGGTTAGACCACAAACACTGAAATTAAACTAAATGTATTGAAAAAATGAATATTAGATTCCTTAAATGATAGTTGCAGAGCGAAGAGTTTACTAATGTTGCGGCTCTACTTTTCTTGTTTTATAGCTGAGCGTGAAATTGTGCGTGACATCAAGGAGAAGCTTTGCTACGTTGCACTGGACTTTGAGCAAGAAATGGGCACTGCTGCCTCCTCCTCTTCCCTGGAGAAGAGCTACGAGCTACCCGACGGACAGGTCATCACCATCGGAAACGAGAGGTTCCGTTGCCCTGAGGCCCTCTTCCAGCCCTCTTTCCTTGGTAAGATAAATTACAAAGAATCTGCTAAAATATACTTGTATATTCAGTTTGTAGCAGCAAGAACTGGGCTTTAATTTTAAAGTATGTTGAACACAAACTTACTTTCTTCTTTCACACCTTCTCACAGGAATGGAGTCTTGCGGTATCCATGAAACTACCTTCAACAGCATCATGAAGTGTGACGTCGACATCCGTAAGGACCTGTACGCCAACACTGTGATGTCTGGAGGTACCACCATGTACCCTGGCATCGCTGACCGTATGCAGAAGGAAATCACTGCCCTGGCACCCACCACCATGAAGATCAAGGTATAACTCCTCCTCATTGCCCTTTACTCGCATCCTCCCACAGGCAATAATGCAAAACATGTTGTAGAAAGCTATTTACCCCAGCTGCCATTTAGTGTACAAACATGGGTAATGCAATATTCAAGCCCTATTGCTTGTTTTTTAACGTGTCCTAATCTGTAGTGGTGCCAAAGCACAAGATGACAGCCTCAATTGTCTAACTGTACACTTCAAGTATTTGCAGGATATAAGTTGGTTTACAAACGGATGTTTTAACACGTTTCCACCATGTTTTCTGCAGATCATTGCTCCCCCAGAGAGGAAGTACTCTGTATGGATCGGTGGCTCCATCCTGGCCTCCCTGTCCACCTTCCAGCAGATGTGGATCAGCAAGCAGGAGTACGATGAGTCCGGCCCCAGCATTGTCCACAGGAAGTGCTTCTAAACAGACTTGTCAGTCCCCTCCCCAAAACACACACTGCTACAAACCCAAACGACTGGCTCTGCATACACTCCTGCACCAACACACTGGTGTGTGCTGAGCCCACAACACTCTCTTCCAGTTTTTCCCTCATCACTATGGCTATGGCACCAAGCCCCCTGATGGGGAGAAACTCTGCAGGAAGTTCAGAGCGTCCCATGCGGTGTGAATGTGTGGAACATGATGTCCATTCTTGTGTTTGTGTATGTCATTCCAGATGTGTTTGTTCACCACCTTATTTGCCTCTATGAAGGTTTCTTCTCTGGTGGGGCTCACTGCCCAACAGACCTGTAGTATTGCTTATGTAAATTATGCGATCTTTTGTTTTTGTACTTTCAGCCTTAAACAATACTTGGTCCAGTTTGTTTTTGTCATTATGCAAAAGACAAAGCTTCTACCTTGTATGAAGGTTTGTGCAAGCCTCTGTTGTACACAACAACCCAATAAAGCGCACATGTCTGAAATTCTGTTGACTCTGCCTGGTCTTTACTAGCTCAGCTTGGTTCACAAAGAAAACTTCAGTCGCTCGTATATTACTTCGGTTTGTTAAACTTCAGACGACATTTGTCTTGAATAATTATTATTATTAAGTTTCCACTGTGTAAAAGAGTAGATTCAAGGATCATTTTTAGTAATTCTAGCAACACAGGATTGAAGTTACAGTCTGTACGACACAAGGAAAAACATGATGAAACAAAATAATGGATTTTATTAAATCGTGTTTATCAAGTCAAATTAAAATAAAAACTGCAATTGAAGCAAAAGCTATATACTTTAATTTTGTACTAGAGAAACTCAAGCTTGAATATTGTCTTCACTTTGTTTGTCAAAAGGGCAAATGTTTCTTTACAAAATTGAAATTAACTAGACAAACAGTTTTGGAAGAACTTTGAATCTTGCCTATTTGTGAATTTTTCCAACTGAAAGTATTTTGATTTGTCTTAACTTCCGAGACTCATTGCACTCAATTTGAATGTCTTCATAACGGTTAGAAGTTCCGGTCATTAATACAATTCAAAGTTTAAATAACATTTGGGAAATGTTTTTTCACAAATCTAAGGATCAAATTGTCACTGAAATAGTGACAATTTGAGATTAAGTGTACCTAAAGTGTCATTTTTATTTAAAAAAACACGAAGATTTTCCATACCCAACTTGACGATCGTAATCCTGTTAGTCACACTATCATCTTGTAGTGTAAAAGGAAAACAACATTCAACTACAAGAAAAAACAAACTTGCACCTCACACACCTTACCCTTAAGGTCAGAATAAAATACATAAGAATAAAGGACTTCCTTATTTGGGATGAGCATTTAAACGCTTATTTGTTGAAGCTGTATATTAAATATATCATGTTAGATAAGATTATTTGGGAGTCCTACAGTACATGTTCTTGATTTTACCAGGTCCCGAGTGCAAATGTAAAGACTTGTACAAGAACTTCACTATTAACTGCTTAGCCCCGAGGTAATTTTCCATCTCGTTTGTTTGAAGTTTCTCACCTTAAAAAAACAGACTACAACTCAATTTAAACCTCTTTGGAAGTGACGTGATTATTAGGGAAGGAACGCAAAGGAATGAAGAGGTTAAACAAAATGTCTTAATGCATCCTGTTATGTCTAAAGACCAATAAAAACCAGAAAACACATGAGGGTTGTTATTCGAGTGTCCGACACAGGAAAATCCTGAGTTAAACTTGTTTAAGCTTCATTTTTTCTCAAAAGGTATTAGGCCCCTAGAATTTCCCTTCATTATATAAAAATATTATCAAATATTTTGATCTGTAAATATTGATCATAAAAACTGCTTAAATATATATATATTTTTTTAATGTATTAGTTATTTACTTTTAAGTTTTAATTTCGTTATTTCGGTCACCTTCTGCATGTCATGTTGGAATGTTGCATGTACATATGTGAATGTATGTATGAATGTATGTATGAATGTTGGTACATCTTATGATAGTTAGAAACATCTTACTATCATAAGATGTACATGTGTTCAATAAGTACTGTCTAAAAAATGAAATAAGAGGAATTACTATAATTCTGTAAGATATTTCTATATAAAAAATTAACAGATGAATTTTTTTTAGTTCCCTGGAAGCTTTATTGAACTTTTTTTTTCAAATACATCAGAAATAGGCACACCCCAGCAGTGTTCATTAAATTAATTCAAACTAAGGGCAATTGTGAACAGAAAAAATAAAATAAAACAAAAAAACAAAATCAGAAATTAAAGTGAGTGGAAGAAACAGCTGGGCTTTTTGAATTCGGCAACATTTAATTGATAATTTGTATAGTTAGTAAAAATAATAAATACTGGAGAAATGTTGAGGAAGAGGCATTTGTGGATGAAATATTTTGCAAAAATACTCAAATCACTCATTCCTAATTCTGTTTTAATTAAAAAAGTAAATGAAAATGGGATTCGACCGACAGGAAGTGTGTCCCTCACTGAAAGAGGTCCGTCTGTGTGCAGCAGTGAACGTTCTCCGCCCTGTCAGCGACCGGGTGTCACACCGCCTATGGTTCACTGTGGAGCGGCTTCCTCGGAACATGAACCCAGCTGGATGAACATCTAAAATAAAATTTAAAATCCTGGTGATCATGAGTGGGATCGTGAGAGGGATATCAGAGGACATGCACCGACAAATTATACAAGTGGGTTCCCTGACAAACCTCTAAAAAACCGCATGAATAGTTAACGGTAACGCTGAGGAACTCAACTAACGCTAGCTAATGTTAACGCTAACTCTATGGGCTGGACCAGGGTACACCCACATTTCTGCTTTTTAATACACAGTTCAAATTCAACCTACATAGATAGCTTAGAAAAAAGACGTGTGATTTGGTGCAATTCTTGATAACCTGTTAAATAATACAGATATTGTAAATGTGAGGAGAAAGACAGTGACACTTGGGCTGTTGCTAACAATGGTAGTAATATCTGTGCCTTGCTGAAAAGTGCCTTGTATCTGGGTTCACAGGCTTTATATTTGAAATATATGTTATACTTTAAATCGTGTTGATTTGGCGAAGTAATGTCATCACAAATGTGTGGTTTACCTTATTATAACTTCAACTATAACGTTATATGAGATGGCAAAATTGATACATTTCATTGTCATTTATAAAATATTCTTAAACACAATTTTGGGGAAAAAGTTTAGGAATAAAATAACCAAAAATGAATAGCTGACTTTGCCAAGTAAAGCAAATTAAACACTCACACATTTCTTGATGGAAATGGAAATTATCTAAAAATCCAGTGTTGCCATTAAGCAGGTGCATTGATTTGCAGCATTGAAAAGGAAGCTACCATGGTCATATCATCCAGGCATAATCTAGTGTGTTAATAACAGTTTCTTTCTCTATCCTCAACTTAAAAAACGAAATACCAATAATTAGTTATTGCTACCATATGAGAAAAGCAGCGGGTCCATCTTGGTCATTATTTTTAAAGGTTGACTGTAGAGCAATGTTGATAAATTGATAGTCGATGAATGAATGAATGTACAGAAAGGAAAATAAATATTGGTATTGTTTTTGTTTCAGTCATTTCTTTTGAGTGGAGGTAGTGGAACAATAGATATTTGGGGAAATGTTGACTCTTGTTTTCATTTCATAGACTAATTGAAATAAAAGTTGTTACACAGAGGGTCTAAAAGCACTAAACTGACATTGTTTACTGTCTGTCTCAGGCTGTATTTGACGAGGACACAATGTCCTCTACCTCCGTGGGAATGTCAGATTTGTCCGATGAGATCCTGCTTTGCATTCTCCGCCATGTTCCAGTGTGTGACCTGATGAAGAATGTGGCCAACGTCTGCCACAAGTTACACACACTGTGCCATGATAAGACCCTGCTCACAAACGTCAGCCTGTCTGAGGAGTATCAGGTAAGACTCTTATTTTAGTAAAATAACTATCACAGTTTTCTATGAATCTTCGATCTTGTGCATTTGTGAGGATCTTTCTGTATATTTAGATTAATTTGATAAAATGCTCTTTGTTTTCTCCAGGCTGACGATGTTTTGGTCCGCTACATATTGAAGCAGCTAGCCAATCACATGCAGTCTTTGAGCTTGAATGGCTGCTACTGGCTGTCTGGCTCTACGATGGAGCTTCTGGCTCGCTGCAGAGGAGTGACACACCTGGATGTCACCGGCTGTCGCATAACTTCCCTGCGTCTCTCCCGTCTCCTCTCCTCCCTTTCTCTGCTCAGATCCCTCGCTTTTGATGTGACGCCGGGCTTCAACTCTGCTCAGCTCAGTTCAGAGGCGGTGGATTCTCTGAGCCGCCTGTCGGAGCTCAGACAGACACTGCTGACACCGAGTTATGGTGTGGTGCCATGCTGCGCCCAACTACGCAAGTAAGAATCTGTGCGATTACTGAGGTTTCGCATGAGGCTTTTGTCCAGAATAACTTCCTATTTGACACTCAACGCAATATTGATTTATATATACACTTTTATGTGATAATCTGGATACAAGTTGTAATGTGTGTTTATGCACCATGTTGTTTCTTAAGAAATGTAAAATGTACAGAATGGAGCAGAACAATTGACTAACAAGACTCTCATATTGATTGGTTGAGTTTAGAAACCATACACTGTTTGAGCTTAAAGGTAGGGTAGGTAAGAATGGAGAAACCAGCTCGAGTGCGCTAGAATTTGAAAGTACGCAGCCGAAAGAAATCTGCCCCTTCCTTCAAACTTCCTTACAGAGCCCCTCCTCCAACACACACGTACGCGCACGTGACCAATGAGGGCACGAGATAAGTTTGTGCACAAGATGGAAGGCTGACAGGCAGATGATTTTCTTTTTATGTATTTATTGTCAAAGCATTTAATATATTAATTGCTATCGGGATTCCATGGAATATAACAAAAAGTGTTTCTGAAGTGAATTACCTACCCCACCTTTAATGCATTCATCTTCTTTTTCCTGTCTTATGGCTTTGTTTTACTGCTGCTGTTTTACTTCACTGCTACAATGTTGAATGTTTGTTCACTGCAGGCTGATGCTTCAGTTTGACATCTCAGACGTGACTAGAGAAGGTATCGGTGTTTGCTGCCAGTTGATGATGGGTCAGAGCAGTGTGCCACATTACCAACAGCTGGAGGAGTTCACTGCCAGGCTGGCTCCAGGAGAGGTGAGCTTTGGTTTGTTCCCATGTATCTGCAGCTTACACTGGGTACAACAACCTGCATATTGTAAATCTAGTTTTTTAATTTAAAATGGATTCAACCAGGAGCTTCATTGAGTTTAAACATCTCCTTTAGAAGAGTCTCCCTACCAAGACAGCAACACACTTTTAGACATATAACAATTAAAGACAATATAATTCACACAATCACACAAGGGCAAAGAGCTCAGTCAAAAACACGTAAGGAGACCCAACTAGACCCAAATCAGTCTGCAGCAAATCCAATCTCCAGAAGCAGCATCGCTATCATTTCAAGGCTGACACCGGGGACAGATAGCAGCAGGTAATACAAATACAGTATTATTAATTATGTGGCCAACGCAGCCATTGTGTGAGCAATTGTCTGAGAGAAGAGAGCGCTGCTGGACCCGTCGTGCTTGACATAGTATTGAAACGGTTTCAAAAATATTCAGAATCTATATTAGTCGAGTAATTGAAAGAAGGGTTCATCAACTTTTGCTATGAGTTTGTAGACATCTTGACTTTATGAGTGTATCTGTCTGTTCCCCTCAGGTAAACCAGACGTTGCTCCTGCTCTATCTGGCCGTGTTCAGCGTTCACGTTCCAAAACGTCTGAGAGTTTTCCTCGTGTCGATTCCTGGTCCGAACCCCGCCCACTGGCCTGCTGCCCCCTCCCTGGCTCAGAGCCTCGGGCAGGGGGGCGACCTGGAGGCCCTGCAGCTCCCTCGCTCCTGGCTGGATTCCTTTTCCCTGAAGCGAGCCCTGGAGGGAAACAGCCCAAAGCACCTGAGCTTCAGCCGCTGCCCGGCGCTGTGGACGCAAGTGTTCCAGTCGCTGCTGGAGGGAGGAGTCAGAGACGCCAAGCAGCTGACCAGCCTGAACCTCAGCGGGATCAACAAGGTCCTCTACTCAGAGTGCAGGAGTGTGGAGGATCAGCTGGTTCCTGAGACTATGAGCCGCCTGGCTGCTGGTTGTTCCAACATTAGACAGTTAAACCTGATGCACACGCACTACCATCACGAGAGCTCACCTGGGCAGGGTGGAGAAACACACCTGTGTGCCAGCTTGGCCAAACTCACACATCTGCGCTCTCTCACACTGCCTGCCTGCGCCCTGTCAGACGGCTTAAACACGCATCAAGTCTCTATAAACAACACTCCCTCCCCTTTGTTCCTGGGGTTAAAGAAGAATCCACGGGTGGGGCTCCAGAACTACAAGCCTGATTTAGAGTCCTCTCTTTCAGAGGACAGCACCTCGGGGCTCTCTCTGCTCTTAGCTGGCTGCCCTTTTCTAGAAACCTTAGAAGTCATCGGTCCCGGCTTTGTCTCCGCGCTGCCTCGGCTCGAGCCCTGCACTCGTGCCAGTGTGGAGCCTCGTGGCATGTGTGAGTGGGCGCGAGGAGTCGGCGACGCACACTTAGCAGCACTTGAGGCTTTGCCTAGATTGCGCCGTCTGAGTCTGGCGGGGCTTCCTGGGGTCCTGAATGGGACAGGGCTGGTACAGCTGACCCAGCAGTGCAGAGACCTCAGGGTTTTATCCCTCGCCAACATGGGCTCACTAAAGACCATGAACTACTCCCCTGCCTTGCTGGATTCACTTAAACAGTGCACACAGCTACAGGAACTCAGGTTAGAAGATGTGTACCCTTCATTTACTGTGACACTGTGCCACAAATTGATTATTTGTATATCAATAACTAAACACGTTACCTTGAGTTCTTGAAGAAAACTTTTCTCGCAGCCCACACAGTAGACACAGAGTCTAGAAACAGAGAATATTCTTGACTGAATTCATAAATGGGATCTGCGTAAAACAACAGCTCAACTAAATTAAAATGCATGTTTTGGGAAATGTTGTAAATGGATGTTTTAATAGAGGTTTGCTTATGTTAAACGTGGCGTGGCCCCAATATATTTATATTATATCCACTACAATATTAAGGGCAACAAACCAGTTAGTCCAATCACATTTAATGAAAGGAGTTCATGTGTTTGCTCAGCTCGTTGTTCTGATTAATTGAACGTTGGTTGTCTGTGTGTTGTAGGTTAGAGCAGCCCTACCTGAATGCCAACGAGTCATTCTTCGAGGCTCTGTCCTGCTGCTCTCGTCTGCAGCGTCTCTGCCTTATCTCACGTAGCGGCACCTTCGACCCGTTGGCAGTAGAAAACTTCATGGAGCGATGCCGCCACGTCATCATGTGCCATATGTTCATGGGCGGCACCTTGGTGGCATGTCGCACACTGCAGAAAGTTCTTCTGAACAGGTTAGTGCTTGTGTGTGAGGACAAACTGTACGTCTACATTAGAGTGAAGCGGGGTTGTATGAGGCCTGCACGACCCTAGTTACAACAATTACAGGAGCTAAGGCACGGAGGCAAAGCAGTGTACTAGTGTAGACAGTGGGACGCAACGAAACCTATTTTAGCCACCTAAAACCGAACTTTAAGATTAAATGTGCACTATATTCAGAATGTTTTCACTGCTTTACCTTGCCATCAGGTCGCTCTATACAATGGTGAGCTGTTGCAGTTATCTTTGTTCTTCAATGCAACCAGAGACCTTTAACATAAACATTACATTTATAGTTGGAGTCGGGTGGCTTTGAAGAGAGCATACAGAAGATAACAGGTTCAGTTTCTCAGAGTTCTGTCTAACAGCTGTGGCGGGAATTTATTTATCAAATGTGGATAGAGAATCAAACCATTCAGCTGTCTTTGTCATATTTTATTTCTTGCAATAAAGTTCAGTCAGTCACACAGAGAGCATACAGTCTGCAGAGTGAAAGACGAAGGATAGAGTTTAGGTTGCATATTTAACACCGAGAGAGGAGAAAGGGAGGGGTGACGCTTGGTGATAATGAAATGAGCATTCTGGAAGTTAGGGAGGTAGGGAGGCCATATCAGGATGTTCTCAGTTCACCTGAGATGAAGGTCATACTGTTGGTGCACATAGAGTGTAACTAACAACATTGCAACAAATCTTCTTGATAAGGAATGTTCCCAAGCTTAGCTAGGATGTGAGAAGTAGTAAATATAGATAAGCATTAGCAAATAAGAATCACACAATGATATTATTAAAGTAAGTCAGTGAGTATAATATTTTACTATTACACAGCAAGTTAAAGCGCTGAAAATATTCTGGAAATGTGATATCGGATTGAGGTGGGCCTTTTGTGTGGCTAAAATATGTTATTCAGCAGACACCATCTGCAACAGTGCTGGTTGGTTTCTCCAAACTGGGGGCATGCTGACCTTCATCTACTGTAGATATGGCTCTAAGTACCTCCTCCAACAACTATATCCCTTTTAAATGTCAAAACAGGATCTCAAATTGAACTTTTCTTGTGTCTTTTCTTAGATTTTCAGTGGAGCGTTCGGCCCTGAGTGTGGTCATCTATCCATTACAGCATGAGGACCTGACTTTAGTCATCAGAGATATCCCGCTCACACTTCTGGACAGAATCACTTTGTTCCAGAGTCACGTGGCCCAACCACCACATCTATCACCATTGTGACATCTCCAGAAAGCTTCAGTGTGATTGGTGCTCAAGAGCTACGAGGCTCAGACCACTTTTATTCTGCAGGAAATAAAATTCAATAATGAAAAGACTTGACAGTCGTCTGCACAGTGATACTAGATTGTGTGATTTGTTACATTAATAACTGTTGCCGGCTCCGCTACAAAAAAAATCTTCAACTGTAATCGTTTACACTTACATGACAGAGTAAAGATGGTCTTTGCAGAGAAATGTACTTGCAGGGAGTTTTTAGTTTATTGTTCCAAGACATTTAACACTTAGTGCCATTGTCTCATTCAAAAACAATGTCTGTTAATTCACCACTCTGCTACTTTGAAAATAAGTGCCAAAAATACAAATGAAGGGATGTATTTCTTCAGATACTTTTACAGGAAATCTGAATCGAATTATGTTGTAATAAACTCCATACAAATGATTTGTAATTGTTGTGTGTGTACCATTTATATGTCCATGTTTTTTTTTTATTATATCAAAAAAGATATTGGAAAAACTGAACATGGTCCCACATGTTCTCACTCAGTTGTGGCTAAAAAAACAAATAAGGTGCTATGTACATCAATCTTTTTGGTTCTGGAGGTGGAATTTGCCAAAGAGTGTTTTTCATATATCCAAGTGATGTGTGTATTCCTGTAAACATACCCGGATAAGAACACTGGATAATGCATTTAATACTCTTTCAGTTGGTACGAGTCTCTTTGAGAGACATTTTAGGGGGTGTAGGCCTCTGACACTTTGGTCCAATTTAATACAATTTATTCTACACTGGGCCACCGTAGAGGACACGTTATCATCCAGCATACAAGAGAGCACTTTTTCAAACACGAAGGCACAATGTCCCTCCTCAGTCCACCACGAGACCCTTTCCGGTTGTACTTCTACTCCCGATCACACAGCTGGGCGGTGTCTATGAGCCACAGTCCGGGGTAGAGCGGCTTTGTGAACGTGGTTTCTTCTCTGTGCAGCAGCTGCAGCGTTGACTCACAGACACAATAGAAGGTCAGATTCCCAGCCTTGTGATCGAGGAACACGCCAACTCTGGAGGACTGAGGCTCTGGCACTGCTTTCTCCTCATCATTGTGTCTGAAACATTTATCATTCCCGTTTATGTCTAAACTCCAGGATTTGTCGTTGCAGCCAAATGCACATTCTGAATAATAGTCCGATCTGCCTAGGTCTCTGTAGGCCACTGCTATTTCAACAGACCCCTGAAACTCCACCTCCCAGTAACACCGTCCAGACAGACCCTCCCTACAAAGCACCTGATAGAGGTGAGAGAATCTGTCCGGGTGTTCAGGATACTCCTGGACCAAATCTGTGAGCACCGCCTTTCTGTCCCCCTCAGACAGAACCATCTCTCTGTACAACGTGTTGGGGTCCAGGGTCAGGTGACAGTAATCTGAGTGACAGCAGGAAGAAGTAGACAGATGGTCAACATTTCCTTTATACACTTCAAACTGATGTGTGACTGTGTTTTATTTCAGGCATATCAGGATTTGTGAAGGATTACAGTATTAGTAAAGAGAGACTGTTTCGGTTTGGTTTTAAGATAGAAAAGATGACTCACATTGTAAGAGGTCTGCTCTGGTCTGAGGTTCATCTGTCAATACATCATCTGTTTGACCACACACACACACACACACACACACACACACACACACACACACACACACACACACACACACACACACACACACACACACACACACACACACACACACACACACACACAAATTAGGAGTCTTATTGATAAATAGAGCTTTATGTTACCATTTTTTTTTAAACGCATCTCTGAGAAGAAAACATGGAAGTGCTAATATGTAGTGTAAATCATTCACACTCTTATTAATAGGGATATGTTAAACTTTAAATGTATCACATAAATGGCAGATGTAAAAAATAACAACAAAAAAGCAATGAAAATGCAATTGATTCAAACAAAAAACTGATTCAATATATTAATAAATGTAGTAACAATTTCCTCAAAACCATTCACATTGAAAACTTAACATAATTAGATCAAATTACTGTATAGTTGTAATGAAATCAGATAAATGATAACAGTAATATGTTGCTTGGAACAAAGTCCAGTCATGTGTGCTGAAGGAACATTGTTGTGTTGGTGTGCTGTGTACCAGGAGCAGGCGTGGTCACGGGAGAGGAAGGTGGAACTTGCTGGTCTTGTGCAGAGATTTCCTTTAGAAAGATAGAATACAAGAAACTGAGATAAACTGTAACAATCCAATACACTTTTTCTGAAGGATGTGTCATTAAACCTGAGGACTGAACACTTCTCCTCATATACTTGTCTGTATTCCCAGTAAAAACAGCGATAAAACTATGTATTTTTAAGACAATCAAAGTATTTAAAAAAACACTGCATGTGACTACAATAAAACATCAACCTCAAACTGCCATATATACAGAATAGTTTCACCAAGGTTTGATATCGAACTACTTGTCTGCTTGAGGTAGTCACAACATAGTGACTACGAACAGCTGTTGAGATTGGGTACAAAGAGTAATACTTGCAGCTTGTACAGAGGAAACAGGTGCAATGAAATTCAGTTGGGAGCCAAAACAACAAAGACTATATTTTCTAAAAAACAAAGACAGGAAATAAAGCAGCACTCCGAAGGTCAAATCCAGCGAAATAATCATATTATGTGTGGATCATTTGGATACGTTCATTTCCAAGCAATAGGCTGAAAATGTGTGATTGTTCTTTTTTTCTACCTCTGGAATGTCAAAGGTTTCTTGACTTTGTTTTTTGCAAATACAGTGAAGTAGTACTCGTAGTGCCATGGCCAGGATTTTAGAAAGAGTCCAACATTAACAGCCACACCCTTTAATAAATGTTTTTATCGAAAAACTAAATATGTATTCATTTAACTGTCTGAAGTGTATTCAAATAATCCTCTGCACAGTATTCAATTTTGACAGTGAAGGAATGATCACTTAAATTGTATTTTTTCCCGACTCACTTTGCTTAACGATATTGACCCCAAAATTTGGAGGCTCCTGCTGAGACAATCAGACATTCTGTTATTTTGATTTTCCAATTAGTCAGATCATTTTGAAATGTGAATCGTGATATTTATTGTCTGTTACATGGTTACAGTTTAGAGCTGACCTTTTATGTGGGAGACTAAATAATACATAATAATAACTTTTTTCACTTACATACATATTAACAAGTAAAAGCATTTATATTATGAGTTTGTAATGAATTGCATAATATTAAAGGTGAATCTATGTTACCATTGACGCTGGTGGTGGTGTAGCTCCGTCTCTCTCTTCTAATGATGTAACGCTGGTAAAACGTATCCAGGATGTCTGTAACGACTATGAAACATTGTCTGATATTATTCAGACCAGTCTTTAAATTAGTTTAATAAGCCTTGCTCAACCAGCTAAATATGTCATGAGGAAGGGACGCTGAAGTCAACTTTATGACCAGCTGAGGGGAGGGGCGTAGACCACATGTGAAGTCAATGGCTCAGACATACTAATCAATCACTGATGTCGTTGATCGAAGTGGGAAACCCAATCCAGTGTAGATTAAGGTTTTTCCTACTATCTACACTACCCATAATTAAACAATGTGATATTTACAATGTTTAAACTCAAAGACTGTCCTTGCTGATTCATTTCAAGGACAAAATTGCTAGACGAGTAGTTTATCCTCGTTCTACTATATCTATTACTCGGGTCTGGGCTAGTGTTTGTCATTGAAGCATCGTGGTGCACTCAGGCAACATGCCAGAAGGTACGCAGCTTAGTTTGCTTTTTTAAAGCAATGGTAATTATATTGTAGTTAGCTGTATAAAATCGGTCAAAAATGTTAACGTCTGTCGCCTGCTCTTGCATGCGAAACGGGAAAAGAGTCTCGGCCCGTTTAGCAAAGTTGTCCCCCTTTTTAACGGAAAGCAGCTCGACCCAGACCGTGAATCTGAAGGGTGGACACCGGTCATCAGGACTCCTCTCACCGGCTCCCTGGCAGCTGCTATCAGCCAGATCGGTGTCCCTGTCAGCCGCTTCACATGGAGCTACAAAGCCTCTGGACTCCCCTTTAGCTCCAGCCGAGGACGACCCCACGAAACGGGAGAAGTTCGGCGCCTTCTCCGCCGACATATCCTCCAGGAGGTCGTTCAGGAAAACCAGCCCTGACCTGCAGGATCTGAAGCATCAAGAGGCGGAGGACTACCCGGAGGTGGGGAAACCCTACCGGAGGACCGCCAGGAGAAACACACCGTACTGGTACTTCTTAGAGTGCAAGAAGCTGATCAAAGTAAACAAGGTGAGTTAATTTAACCTGGACTGTCTGCAAAATGTGATTCAAAAATACATCCTGTAATTCAGTCCGAGAAATCTTGTTAAAATGATGGCGTAGAATTGCAAAATAAGATTAAAGATTAAAAGGTTCAGTGTAGCAGTGTAGTGTGGCAATGCATATATTAAGTCCAATGCTCCTCCAACAATGCAACATATTAAAGATATATAAGATACAAAACAAAAAATAAGATCAAGAACAATACAAATTGTGCAAAAAGAACCAGAGGATAAATAAAATAATCCAAGAGAATGTTGCAAGACCAATGTGCAAATCATGAAGAAGAAGTCAACTATATACATGTTTAGTGTACAAACATGTAACATAGAATAAGATAAACAAACATCCTGTACAGTGGAATATATACTGCAGTAACTCAAACCAAAAATAAGAATGTTTTAAAAATGATGACATACTATCTAAAAAAGCAAAGACAATTGCTCAAACTATTGACCTAGTCCTACTCGGTCAAAACAATGACTTCCTAATACAAAATAATGACTTATCTCGAATTACCGACTAAGTATCTAAAAAATAATGACTTATGGAGATGTATCACTGTTTTTGAGATACTAAATTAATATTTGCTAGATGCTTATTATAATGATTTGCAGGATCTTTTTGCATTACATCAGCTGTGCGAAAATCACAGTCTTCTCACCTTCTTCTGTGTGTAAACATTATTTTCCCTGTCACAGCTGCAGGAGGCTATAGATCTTTTCAGCGGAGACATGCTGAAGGGAGAGAGGCTGCAGCCGGAGGAGTTCAACTACACCATCCTGATCGGAGGCTGTGGGCGAGCTGGACAACTCAAGAGGGCCTTCAGACTCTACAATGATGTAGGGATCATTTATTTACACCATTTTATCAACATGCCAAATGACACTCCAGGTCATAAAGTTGTGTTAAACCTCAGTATATTATGTTATTTGAACAAAAGCAAGCACATATTATCAAGAGTCAATATGATACAACTACATTATAACCCTCAAGTTGTATTTTAAACCTACAGTAACAAGCTTGGACGAACAAACACTTATTATGTATATATTGATATCATGTGTGTGTTCTGCAGATGAAGAAGCGAGGTCTGGTTCCTAATGATGCCACCTACACTGCGCTGTTCAATGCCTGCGCTGAGACGCCATACAAAGAAATGGGGCTCCAGCAAGCGTTGAAGTTGGAGCAAGAACTCCGTCGCATAAACGTCCCCCTCAGCACCATCACGTACCACGCGCTTCTCAAGACGCACGCCATCTCAAACAACCTTCAAGCTTGTATTCAAACAATCAGGGTACGAGATGGGCCTACTACGTTTTTATTCATTTTTAAGGAGGATGAGTTCACTGAATCTTGTTTTTATTTGTTTTATAGGAGATGCTACAAAACGGCCATGTTGTAACTCAGGAGACGTTTCACTACCTGCTGATGGGATGCTTGAAGGACAAAGAAACCGGATTCAGACTGGCTTTACAGGTAGATACAAGTGTTATAGAGTGCCACAGTGACGCGTCCTAAAACCCGGAAGTAAGCTGTGCATGGGTTCCTTTGACAAAAAAGCAATGCAATGTCTCCATAGGATTTTGGAAAATAGCTTGAAATAAGGTCTGTGGTTGACACACATTCAAGAGGAGGATCACGTTTTCTTCAGTCGGATAATATCCACATGTCTACCCTACTTTTATAATTTTCTAATCATAAATCTAATCGATAGATTTATGATCGATAGATTTATGATTCGAAAATTATAAAAGT